GATTGTTACACTGCGGTACAAAAGCTCCGTGAAAGTTCGTCGGTCGCATGGTCTCTAACAAGAACTGACTCCTGAACGAACCGAATTCAGCGGGAAGGGATCGACTTTTCCAGCTTGTTTTAGAGACGACAGCTGGCCAATTATAGGTGCTTTCGTACCTGTCTATACACTTGCTCCCTCTCCCCTACACTCGATCTGAAGCATATTCTTGATACGTGACCAAATCGACCGATTAGAGGCTTTTTTCGGCTTGTTCCAGAAACTGCATACCGGCCATTGATATTGATAGGTCATGTCAAATTGTGTGCTATATTTTGTGCAAAAAAAGTCGAGGGGCTCACTCAAAGCTCAAACCAATGAAATGTTTGGAATTTTTTGCTTCCCTCGGCTGAAAGGGGACTAAAGTCTAGCCTTGATCCCTGACTCGGATCATCTGGACCTGAAAGTGTGGAAATAATTCGAGGAAAGGGCGCGGGCGCGGGCGAGGGCTGAGGGCTCGACCTTTTCTCCTTGTTGATCCGGCCCGAATGATGTTATCAAGTCCTTCGAGAAGTTAACAGAATAAGAAAGGGCTCGTATCGTTTTCGAGCTACCGTTGTTGTCGGCCATTGCCGAAAATGAGTGTAGAGTAAAAAAAGGCTCCTCAGAGGCATCGGATCTACCGGGCTGAAATGACGCCGTATGAATATTTGCAACTTGTCAAAATTCGCCGAATAACCCTCTTATAATATGTTTCGAAAATGTACGAATATTTTCCCTTGAAATCTTTAGGAGCCCTACAATGAGAAACAAAATCATGTTCGATGTTTATCCAAACAAAATACCACGGCGTCTACTAGTTCTAAAAAACCATAATTGGAGACTTTCGGGGGCTTCTGGGGGTGTTTTTTCAAGATAATCGGGGACTTTTTTCCCGTAAATAGTAAGAGAAAAGGGAGCTAGTTAGAGCGTTAAAGGCGTATTTTATACGACTAATTTTACAAGTCATGTTGAACCGATGAAAACATACGAAAAACCAAGCAACACTTGAGATTTTTTATTCCTGGTTATACCGCGCCGCCGAAGCTGGCGGAAAAATTTCAAAATGCCGGTGTTTCGGACGATTTTTGTCATTTTTCGGGGGCCTGAACGAGAAAATTGGGGACTTTCGGGGACATTGGGGACACTCTTCCAAAATCGGGGATAGTCGGGGACTTTGGGGAGCGGTAGACACCCTGAATACCCAACGCGTTGTTCGAGATCCGTGACAGAAGAGGATATGGAAGCGGGCTTAAAGTGTGTCTGGGAGCTCGAGTGAAACAAACCTGACAACCTGGACGGTTTTGTTATCGCGTTATTGGCGTTTCACACATTGACGCGCGCGTGACGCCTCTCCAAGATTGTGCGAGCGTCTTTTCCGCGGATTTACACCACATCGCGTCGCTGTGAGGGGGGAGGGGGAGGAGCCGGGCTAATTGCCACTAATCGTTGCTGATTACGATAATCGCTCGCCGATCAGAATTTTCACCAAGTCAACTCATCTGCCGATTCGGAGGAATCCCTGATTGTTAATGATTAGATGAATGAGCACACGGTGTCTACATGTCTCACGATCAGGCTAATAGTCAAAAGAGGCATTTTTTCAAATGCCAGGACAATTTTTTTTTTCAAAAACAAAATGTGTTTGAATGTTTCGCCGTTACGAATTGAACATTCAAAATTTTCGCATATTTCTGTCCGTTAAAATCCCCTCCCGCAGGAGGAATGGTGGTTCTCTCAACAAGATTCCTGGGCGACCGAGAACTTTCAGAGCTTCCGGTTGACAGACTAGATGAGAATGAAGGTGCTCGTGAAAGTGTCCAAGTCATGAGAGTCAATGAAGTGATCTCGGGTGGAGGCATGAGAGTGCTTCTCTATGGAGTAGGTTGGCGCCTACTACGGGCGCCACCACTTTCCGGCTCAAGATCAGTGGCTACGCTTCATTTTCCTCGGCATTCTTCACACGAAAGCTTTATCGTAAATCGACTCACACGACACTGAAAAAAAATTCTCGGCGTTTTTACCAAGGTCCGTTGGTACCTTTACCATCTCACTCTTTTTACCAATTATTGGTCATTTTACCAAAATAGACTGGTAAGTTTACCTAAAAACCGGTATTTTTGCTCTTTTTTCCAGGTAAGAATACCTCTTTTATTGGTAATCAATTCCCGGTAACTTTGCCATTTTATCTCGGTAATTCTACCAAAATCGATAAAAAATATTGGCTTTTTCACCGGGGTCCAGTAGAATTACCGAGAAAGTCGATAATTTTACCGTGATTTCTCGGTAAAATTACCAATTCCATAAATGGTAATTTTACCAAGAAAAAACTGGGATCAAATAGAACCCTGAATTCTTGGTAATTTTACCCTTTTCTTAGTAAATACACCGAGATTTTTTTTTCAGTGGATACTTGAGGAGAAAACAATGATCATGTACTAAGGGTTTCTAAATTACGTCAGGCGATGGGGCCTCCGGCAGCGTAACGAGGAGAAGGACTGCCGTGCTAAGGAAGAACG